GGTATTATTTTAGAGATGCATTGGCCATATAGTCTCTCCGCAAATAGTAACTGAAAATCAGAAATACAATAATATTTTTATTTTCCGTATCAAAACACGTATAGTATAAATATACACATACAATACAGTTGAATAACAACATATTTTTACTTTAACGTCACTTTTTTATAACTTATATTTACTTTGTTTTATATTATTTCTAACCTTCAAGCTTTTATCTTCTTTATCAATTATTTAAGATTTTAATACTTGAGATTTTTTAAAACCTGACTAGTTTTATCAATGAAATTTTGCATACTTGTTATTTTGAATATTTAAAAAGTATACACAAAAACTGAGATTTTGTTGTCTCTATTTTTTATTCTCTTTTTCCTTTACTAAAGATAACACATTTTTTTAACAGTATGGTTTAAAATATTCTCAAGTAGCAGGGCAACGTTAAATGATTTATCAATGACGTATTATTGACGTTAAAGACATCATTAATGCGTTATTAAGTCATATCATTTAATGCTATCATGTTTTCTGAACTTACCCTTCAAATAATAGAATAATTTTTGGTCTAGACAGGGAATCAAATTGTTTTCGATCCCTTTTAGTGATTATATAGATTAATCCCTAATTTTTCAAAATCTTCATTATTTTCGAGATATGGACAATTAACCTTAAAACTTTCTCTGTTTCTATTCATTTATAAGTTATTAAATTTGTGAAAATTATAATTCGTAAATATCTGAAAATTTCGTTTTAATAGACCTCTTAAGTTTGAAGTTTCTCAAGCATCAGAATTTTAATAAAATAAACTAAATAGAAAATAAAAATACAAATAAAATCACACAAAATTCCTACTTGCGACATTGCTTAAATTATAAAACTCCAACGCTTTTACATGATCGATGCCGCAAACGCACGTAACGTTGTCGTAAAAAGTGGGCCACGCGCGAAAACAAATATTCGAACAATATCTGCGCGTTAATGTAAACATTCGCTTCAATCGGAAACATTAAGCGCGACGGCGTTTTTCCCGCGGTTACATCGAAGTGCGGTTGCATTTTGTATTGGCGCTATTTTTATCAATTCAGGGGACGCGCTGGCGAGCATGCTTTTCTTTTATGACGATCGCGCGCAAAATGAATTCCATCGTATCTCGCGGCGCATCCCGACGGGCTATCCTACACGTTTAATTTAACTTCGGCGATAGAAGAAGCGTTCTCTTCCATGTCGCGGCGGATAATAATTCCCTGAACTCTCCGACACATAGAGACGCCTAGAAGACGACAACAACGACGACGACGACAACGACGACGACGACGACGACGACGACGACGACGACGACGACGACGACGTTGACAACGATGACGTCGACGTGCAAAGCCCACCGACGAATTAATTAACAGCGGAATATTATTATACCCGGCTGTATGCTTTAATTCGAACGGGATCAATCTGGATATCATGTGGCGCGACTCTATCGTTTTGCGCGCACCGGGAACCAACGGCGATAAGTCTTGGACGCGAAATGCACTCATTAGCGAAGCACAAAATGACTTTTAGATGGAAATTAACGAGGTTGTTTTGAAGCATAGTCAGGGACGATGCTTTCCCCGATCCATCTGCCCCCAATTAACCTACATGCGAGTAAAACTCAGCAACACCGTCACTCAGTACAAAAGCGACCACACGTTTTAATTAAAATCGAACAGGATTTTAATGTCCGCGACAATTTCATCACTACATGTTAGAGCATTGTCGCGACTGGCGAATGATCTTGCCGTGCGTTTTTGATGTTATTAGTTACAGAAGGATTACGCGCGTCGCAACGCGAGGACGAAACCATTTTATGAATGGATTAATAACCGGATCTATAGGTTTTTATTTTGAGAAGAACAGTGAACATAAAATCGCGAAATAATCCTTTTAGAACATGGATATTTTTCTCTGAGTTTCATTAAAATCAATATTATAGCTAAAAAGTAGAAAAAGCTGATTTAATAGGTTACAAAAAAAATGATGTCAATCAGAAAATAGTGAAATATGGCATAGCTTTTATTTCTCAACAATTCTTGGTTACATTGACCTATGTGACATCATTCATAAAAAAATTCATTTTTGAAGCAACGAATCGGTAGGTCAGCGCAATCAAGAATTGATTCTTGAAACCAGAAAGAAAAACTATGTTATATTTTATTATTTTTCTGGTTGACAACCATTCTTTTTTTCCGTGTAGCAAAGTAAATTTTCGAGCTTCTCGAAATATTTATTAATCTTTTCTATCATAAGTGAATAAAGTTAAGCGACGTGTTACTAGTTAGAAAACTAGTGAAGTTTTTTGTAACACTATTTTGAATAATAAAAGCAAGTTATACTCATAAAATGATTGAAATCGAACATATGAGTGGAGGAAGTAAAGTTGGCTACTTTGTAAGGCTGCGGAGACCTCTCGCGGAATCCGCAGAACAACATGCATATTTTATATCACCCTATGGTCTACTTACACTACTTACGAGTTGCTAGCTAATCTGACCTCCGGTGTCGAGGCAAGATAGCCATGTTGCAGCATGTTTGTATTTCGGTTATAACGAAATATACGGTTAATGAGACCGTAGCGGACGTTAACACATAGAATGAAGCTACTTCTGTCATGTTTGTACTAGTACATAATCAATTACAACAATTAGTTGTCTGAGAAGTTATAACTTCGAGATTCTGAAATATGGTGCATCTAGCCCCGGTCTCTCTTACACACACGCGGTATTGCACCATATATTTCTCTGTTCGCCTCTCTCAGTATCTACAATTCGAGGGAATTGTAAATTACTAATGCATACGCGTGTTAATTAAATGTACAGTATGTTCCGTGATATAATCCACAAGCTAAATTGTAATTTTGTTCAGGTAGAAATAAAGATTATTCGCGAAATTAATATTTAAAAGTACATATGATCTCATTCTTAGCGGAATTATCTTATACAGGGTGTCCCATTACAACCGTATTAGCGCCTCTAAATGCACGAAATGCTATTTGTAAGTTCTAAAGACGATTTCTCGGCAAAGTCAACAGGTAAATAGAATAGAATTAAATAGAATAAAATAGAATTAATATAAGTTTCAAGGTGTCAAAATAGACGTAAAGTAAAATAAAATATTGAGATTCAAAATTTTGACTTTATCGATTTTCGACACACGACTATATTTTCTTTTTGATTTTAGAAGATTCCTCTTGGCCCGTATTAATATAATAATCGTTACTCGAAACTCGTTTCATGAGATAATCTGGTTTTATTCAGAGTTAGATCAATGTTGTTCAGTTGAATTATACGATATATGTAACATTTATATGTCTCTAATCGCGACTCAACCGAAGACATCTTATGTGATTCTAAATTCAAATTTGAGTGTCTCACTTGAGACGAGTTTCAAGCGATAACTATCGATATAAGCCCTTAAGGCCATATTATAGGAAGATCTCGCTGAGGATAAGATTATATTCTTTTGGAACTCTATTATATATTTTGGACTCTATATAATAAAGAAAGATCTAAATATTATTCGTCTCAATAAATATACGACATGCACAATTGCATTATAAAAATGCCGTGCGTTAAATATTAATTGACAAACTTCACCGGAAAGAGACGCGGCGGTCGAGTTGATTCCCGTTCATTTCATTTAGGTTAAGTTTAATCAATTCCTTTCATGAAGTGAAACGTCGTCCTCCTTATCATGACGAATTTAAAGCACATGGAGACACATCTAACGAACAGGGATCTCTCCTTTCCTCCTCTTCAATCCTCAACCATCATAAATTAATTTAGTCGTTTGGAATAATTGGTTTCATCGTGGCCAGAAACGCGAATGGAAACTTACGTTAGACTTCTTGAGTATTTCAGTATGGCTGTATAGAAGGAATAAGCCCGGAATTCTTTCATTAACCGACTTTAAGAAAAAGAGGTTCTAAGTTTGTCTTGTACATATGCTTGATTGTTTGTACGTACTCGAATAGCTCGGGAATAACTTAGAGATATTGAAATGAAATTATTTTTAGCTTGATTAGTATGCCATCACATGGTTCTTAGACTAATGTCATTGGCCGGGTTTGCCCGGCTGAGACCTGGAAATCGGGAAATTCTATGACTTTCCCGAAAATCCGAGATTGGCAACTAACTATATAATTTTAGGAAGATAAATAATAAAGAAGGTACTATTAATAATTCAATCAGTCAGGTTTTCACGCCGATTTCTGATATCGTTAAAATATTGTAAGTACAAAGGAATATTGGGTCAACATTGTTTCGTATTTTTTCGAACTTTTGAGCTTGACGATTTATCTTTATTATGAATTGTACATTCGCGCAGCATTTTCGTTGAGCACGTTATTGTGAGCGCGACTACGATATAAACGCCGTACAAGCGGAATAATTGCAAAATTATTACGCGGCGTTCGTTATATAAATTACTGTTATCTATTCATAATGATGGCACGGCGTAGAAATTAAGACGGCCGTTTCACCGCCATTTAACACCGCGCTGATCCATTTTATTGCGCGGAACGCGAGTAATCGCGAAAATTAACTGTCAAAATTTATGACAAACGTAATATATTCTCATTCACGTGAGCGCATAATGCATCGCGGCCGAATCTTAGTATCAAACGCCGGGGACATGCTGAAATCGCATAAACGGATGCCATTTATCATGCTGCCAGGTCTTACTTCGCTGGCTGAGTGACAGCGCGTTAAATTTAGCATTAATGATGCGGTTCGAGGCGCTATAGCGAGACGGAAGTTCGTTAATTAGTTATCGCGGCGAAAAGTGTACAGCAACTTGCGTCATGCGCGTTCTACGCATCTCTCTCTCTCTCTCTCTCTCTCTCTCTCTCTCTCTATCTCTTTCCCTTTCGTCATGTTAATCGCGTTCACGGATTTGAATTCTCCGTCTGTGATGAGATATGCGTTTAGCATCCCATTAATATTTTTGTTAATTTGAAATCTCTTCGGCAGTATCTCTCGACTATCCACCGACTTTCGAGTTTCGATAGCTTGCTGCGCACAGGACCTCGCAAAAGTTAAAATTTTTTATGCTATAAATAGAAAAAACAAACATCAAATTTGGACGTTAAGTGCCAATTGGGATTGCATTCCACGAAACTTCCTTTTTGAGGAAAGATTTTACTGAAAACCTATAACGTGTGTAACATAAACTATAGATAGAATACAGAACTATAGATAAATAAAAAATAGATAGAACATAGAATATAGATGGATATAGAACGTAGAACTATAGATTTTCTGTAAAATTGTCCTCAAGAAAGAAAAGGATGTCTTGAACCTGAAATGTAACCTGGAATGCTAAACTCATGAACGAAAGAAAGGGGTTGCCGGACTTGAGAATATAATTATGTTGAACTGTAATTTCCATCAGAGAGGAATTACTCGCGTGTTCGCCGTTGCGTACTCCATGCCAACGTGCAAGACACTACTGTGAGGAAGTGGAAACGAGGAAGAATCTAAAACTACTTTCCTGTGTAAAGTGAAACTGTGCAGTGCGCGCGGAGACACGTAATATAACTTCGATCATCGAACTTTCAGTGAGTCCATTTACAAACGTAATTTCTACGTGCGGCGGGGAACAAAAGTGCCGTGATAACGAGCTGAATCGTTAAAAACAAAGGTTATTTTGTGCGCGTCGTGGGCAACGCACGGAGACCGAGAGAGGATCGCAATCCAACTCGCCGATGCAATCGCATCCTATTAATGAATGCAGTTCGCATCCGCGGCACGCGCGTTAAGATCGTTACGAAATCTCGCGTCACGTGTGCAAGAACCAAAAGCCACGAGAGAAGAAAGGAAGGAAGGAAGTAACGAAAGAAGAAAGGAAGGAAGGAAGGAAGGAAGGCAGGCAGCACGTGAGGCATTATTAAACTTCTCGCGCTCTAATCCGGGTGTAACGCGCGCGTTTACGTGGTTGGAACGAAAACTATGCAGTACGATGAGGGGGCCAAGAATCGGTGGTGGCCTACCGAGCGAGAAAAGGCTGGACTACTGCCAGAAGGCGCGTCAAGCTCGAGGAGTATTGCTGCTGTACTTGAGTATCTGCGCGTCGCTGCCCGGCGCTATTTTCACTGGTTGGTATCGACGAGATTCTCCTTCTCGTTGCAAGATATTAGTACTTCATCTAGAACAAAACTTATTAACTTAAGCGAACTCTCACGCTTCCATAAAACTCGTAGGAATCGAGATTGATTTGAATCTGATGCGTTAGGTGCAGAAGCCAGTTTGTCGTGTTTGTCAAACAAAATAGTGAACAAAATTATGCAACTTTATAAAGTTAGGGAAGTCTGAGTATTTTACTTTCTCTAAGTATTTATACTTGTAAGGTGTGTGTAAATATTAAACAAGTTTCACGTACTTTGTTTAACTTAGATATAAAATAGAAATCGAAAATAAGAGGGCTTTGGAGAAACATTCGATAGAATAAATGGAGTCTGTTTTAATTAAATATGAATTAAATATATATAAAAGCTCTCGTTAGGAACAATCAAAGTATATAGAAGGACTTTAAGAGCCAAATCGTGGTTCTTTGGTACGATTGTCAATTACATTATTTCAATAAATGAAGTCTATTTGGGTTTTCCACTCAGAATTATATTTTTGAAACATTACACTTCTAATTATTGAATTTTGGTGAACTTAGTCAAAATTCATAATTTTTTGGGGGAAATCGAAATGAATCTTGATTAGATTTCAGAAAATTTTCTTTGTGAAATTTCTTGTCAAAACCTATTATTATTTTAGAGACTCAAACTGAGTCTCAAGAAATTTTCTATTCCTTGGATCTCAAGAAAGTTTCTATGCGAGATCGACTCGGTATTGTTTCGAATATTTATATAACAAGAACTTTCTATTTTTTTTTAATACTTAAACTTTCTACGAGAGTTTAACATTTAGAATGACAAATCTTTTGCATCAACCTAATATTTTAGACACGTTTAGTCGCAACTTTTGCTCACTCCGAGATGCTTGTATAATTTCTTAGTTGTTTTTTGTTTTATACGTGACGGAGAATTTTTGCGAGCGCAGGTTTTCCTCTCCCAATTGATTACAAAGCGGAAAGAGGAGAGAAAAAATAACTCGATCGCGTTGTTCGTTAGGAGTGTAACTCACAAATCGCGCTATCGCGTACCGTCGACAACAATGTCGGGCGTAACGACGATATGATTTCTGCGCGCGGATGCAGGGCGCGGGAGAAACTTTTCTGTAGTCGTTCCTTAATATAACGTCTCGCGGTCTCACCTGAGAAATGAAGGGCATAAATCACGGCGCTCATCAAGCCTCGCGTGGTCTCAATTTTGCAAAACTTTTCCCACAAATCTTTGCCGCCCGCCTAGGCGCCGTCGTCTCCATCTTTTAAAGATTAGTTTAATGTCGTTCGTGACGGCCGCCGTGCTTCAACTTTATAATGAGAAAGTCACCGTGACGGAACGTAATAAGCAATAACACTTCGTACTGCATAAACAATCCGGCGTTGCGTCGAATGTCGCTCGCGCGCGCGCTGTTTAGTTAGTTATTTTCCACGCCTTCTACAACTGGATCGTTTAATTTAATGCAAAATTTGCGCACAACGGTCGCGTAACATTGTGCTAGTTTGGCAGCAAGATTTACGACGATCTGTACGCTACCCGACCTATGTGCAATGGCTTTACCATTTACTAGGTCTAGTTACAAAAGAATTTCTCGACCAATGTGCAATATTTTCACATATCCGTATATTCTGACTGTTGAGTATCCTAATGATATTGCTTCCTCAGAATATTCAACGGTCATGATGCACGAATGTGCGGAAATATTGCATGTGGTTGAAAAATTCTTGCTAGGCCTAATAAATGTTGAGGCTATTCTGCTGGGTGGTGCGCAATTGAAATGCAGTTTGCATTTGAAATGTGAGAAAAATAATTCTCTAAACTTATTTAATAAACCGTCTTTAACACTTTAACTACTGCTGTCGTCAATAGACGACAAAATGGAATTTTCTTGAAACACGGCTGTCGTCAATAAGTGATTTTATAATTTTAATAAATTGTTTCCTCGAGCGACCTCGATCGATATTTTTGCTCGTAGCTAAAGGATTAAAAACCTTGAAAAATATGCAATAATTTGGACACAATATTGGAAAATTTGAAAGATATAATTCTCTAAACTTTTTCAACAAAAATAGACCGCCTTCAAAAACTTCAAAAGCCTTAAACAGCATAATTTCGACTTAATATTCCTACGTAAATTCGGCTGCGTATATTTTTCCCAATAATGTTGTTCCAGCTTTCCTAGTAATAACTCTAGCTTGTTACAGTTGAGACACAGTGAGTTGCAAAACGATTTAGGCCCAATAAAGTTGGTAGTTTAGCAACTGTCCAGATTGGAAGCATTACCGCGCAGACTTACGCAATAATAATATAGTGAATAATTTAATTGACAACAGTAAAAAATAATAAATAATAGTAATATTAATAACTAATAATAATAATTAACAGTACAGAAGAATGCGCGCACCTGGAGTATAACGAGGACCATAAGGTTATGCCTCAGTTGTTCCTAATTAGTAGGCAAGCCCATTAGAGTAATGATGACTCTCAATTTTGACTATTTGGGGAGCTCCCAACTTCATTGCGCCTGAACTGTTTTGCAACACACTGTACACGTATGAGAGGTTAACTACCGCGAAGATACATTTAGAGTCTCGTAGACAATTTGAGCGTTGGTCCCATTAAAAATAGACATCCCCGTGAGCGAGCCACGCTGAGGGAAACGCGTCTCTAATTCGGCTATTTGATACGCGACAATTCGAGTAAACGCCGTGGATCTGATTTTTGCACTCAGGAGTCCCCATCGCGATTCAAAGTCCGCCGCGAATTCCGCGGCAGAACTCTTCCATTTACCTTCCTCACTTCATGCAGGGCTACTGCGAGCAGAAATATAAATTGCGAGAAATGACCCTTGTAAAACGCGACAGTAGCATTAAAGGACGTCCTCAGACGTACTCGAACGCGCGAGCGCGAGCGACGGCTCTACACCTCGAGATATGCATCCCGTAACGCTTCACAGGCAAAATAGGAACTAATTAAGCACACGAGAGTTTAAACGAGGCGCGGCACCGGCCGTAGTGCAAATTGCAAGTTGTATTAACAATTATCTCGTAATTGTCTACAGCATGCTCAGGATTTGTAAAGCTAGAATTAAATTCGCAAGTAACGCTCGCGCTGGCACTTCGTGTCGCCGCGCTCGGTGTGTGCTCCACTCTACATATGTCTCTCCCGTTCTATTTTCCTCCAAATCTTTACCCTATTGTGCCTCTCGGCTTTGTCGCGGATTTGACAGCCACGCGAATGGAGCAAGCAGCAGAGTGAATTTCGCAGTATCTGTTCAAAATAAACACGGAACGTACATGCCGTGAACACGCCAATGATGTGGTTCGTTACAATTGCGAAAGAATGTTACATCGGTTATTGATACGTTTGCGCAATAATCGGTTATGATAGGAAGTGGAGTGACAATACATTCGACATCACAACTGGGACGAACGGAAAAACACAAGTATTTTTATTATATTTTTATCTATCAGATAATAATGTAATAAAGGTTCGATACTTTGTATTGTCGCTTGTCACTTCGGCTCTTGTCCAAACCGATTGTCACGCTCAAACTCTGCAGTAGTGCCTCTGCTGTGTCTCAATTGTGACCACCTGGAATGCAACATTATTGGAAAAAATGTGCGCAAACTATTTTGCAGCCGCGTTCACGTAGGAATCTTGAATCGAAATTATTTCATGCTGTTTAAAACTTTTGAGGATTTTGAAGGCGATTTATTTTTGTTGAAAAAGTTTTAAAGAATGATATCTTTCAAATTTCCCAATATTATGTTCAAATTATTTCATATTTTTGAAGGCGGTTTATTAAATAGTTTTAAAGAATATTTTTCTCAAATTTCTCAAAATTTTTAGAAATTATTTTTCTCAAATTTCAAAATATTTTTACACAAATAGTAAGTACAACAATTAAAACTGCAAAGAAACATAGAAATACAGAGAAGTCACGTGTGTTTTCTTTCGTATCGTTTGATGAATTATTAACATTTTGTGAGTCGAAATACATTAGAGAAACGATCAGGAAATATTGGGGCGTACAAATTGTCAACCGTACAAAATTACGCTGAAACACGAGAGATAGTCTCGGTCAAGTACTTTCGGGCGAAGTTCACTTACCTCCGGGGGAACACGAGCGACGCATTAATTGGTTTCTTGAACCGAGTGGCACATTTGAAGTTCCCTGCAAACTAAACATCTGGTTTAGCGGTCTAAACATTCGAGTCTCGTGTTGGTTTCCACGCGGCGACGGCAACACCAAACTCAGATAATGTTTAACTGACATTCGCCAGTTCAAGATTTACAATTGATGCCCTAAACTCGGTATCTGGCATGAAAATGAACCGCAAAATTGCAAGTTTATCGGCCTCTTATGCCAAAAATGTATTTCGCCTCTTCGACTGAATATACCTATTTTTCATACTGAAACGTATCGATCGTTGGAAAGTGATCGTTGCTAGGTACGTTGCAATTTGCGAGTAACGATTGAATAATGGTGAAATTCGCTTAAATGATCGCGCAAATATAAAAATGTCAGACACAATAGGAGGCAGGAAAATGTCGAGAGGGAGAAGTTGTTTTACATTTACCGTAACGCAGTCGGAAAATTCGATTCACTACCGCTCGATTTTCCCAGAGACACTGTCGGCTACGTATCGCCGAAAGGGAGAACCGAAAACAAACAGCGCTTCGTAACCCGTCTACTGGAAACAAACCACGTGTCTATCAATAGAGCGAGCTGCAACTCTATTTATCCTTCTGTTGGCGCGCAAATACAAAGGCAACTAAATAATGCATTAATTCGCGTAAGGTCGTTGTCTTCTCCGCTACTTCTAAAGTCGTCTCTGTTACCTAACACGGTGCCATTGTCTAAGCTACTTCAGTCGAAAATATCATTTTAACGCTAGAACTACCGACCACTAACGACTTATTTCTGTTCAGAGTGGTTGAAGACCGACTTTCGAAAAAAAATACGTAACCTGAGAGAA